GAACTCATACACCCATTAAGAGGACAACTGTCTAAACCAGCCTACTGAGTAAGTGATCTCAGGCCTTCCTGCCAATTGTTCCTCCAGCAGCAGGAACCCCCATCAGAGTGGCATGAAGCCAGAAAAGCCAACAAGTGAGGGTCTCTTTCACTCTGTGTTGCTCCCTTCACACAGGTTGACCCTTTTCTCTATCCAGGTAGGGAATCATTATTTTAATTTAAGCTACCTGCAAACTTGCTGAACTCCAATAAAAGGCTGTGATTCTAAAGCTTTTGTCTCCATTTGCAGAAAAGGGAGAATGGGGAGGAATGCCCTCATGATGCTTGGTTCATGAAACCTCCTCTTGACAGGAGAGGGTGCAATTAATCTTATGCCATACTTGTGGGTTTTCTGAGGTGCAGCTTGTTGGCCCTAAATGCGCAGAGGTAAACTGGTCTGGTCCAGCAGGGCTTTTTTACTAATTGCATGTCTTCATCCCCTTCATGGATCACTGCCTTGCAAAGGCAAGGCTGCTTGTGTAGCACAAGGAAGCTTTCAATTATGTCATTCAGGGGCACCCAAGACAGACAGGTCACAGCAGAGAGCTCTGACAAAAGGTGATCCACTAGAGAAGGAAATGGCAACCCACACCATGAAAACCCCATGGAAAAGATGCAAAGGCTAAAAGATATGATGCCAGAAGATGAACCACTTATGTCAGAATGTGTCCAGTGTACTACTGGGGAAGAGTATAGGGCTAGTACAAGTAGTGCAAGAAAGAATGAAGCGACTGGGTCAAAGCCGATAGGACACTCAGTTGCGAATGTATCTAGTCGTGAAAGGAAAGTACGATGCTGTAAAGATCTGTACTCCATAGAACCCTGGAATGTAAGATCTTTGAATCAAGAAAAGCTTGGATGTGGTCAAACAAGACATGACAAGACTGGACATCAACATCTTAGGAATCAGCAAAGTAAAATGGACAGGAATGGGTGAATTTAATTCAGATGACCATCAGGTACACTATGACATGCAAGAATCCCTCAGAAAAAATGGAGTAGCCTTCATAGTCAATAAAAGAGTAGGAAAAACAGTGCTGGGATACAATCTCCAAAATGACGGAATGATTTCTGTTCGAATCCAAGGAAAACGATTCAATATCACACTAGTCCAAGCCAATGCCTCTACCACTGATGCTGAAGAAGCTGAAAATGACCAGTTCTTTGAAGGCCTACAACACTGTCCAGAAATAACCCCCAAAATTATGTATCATAATGGGGGATTAGAATGCTAAAGTAGGAAGCCAAAAAATAACCCGCAAATTATAAAAGTTTGGCCTTGGAATACAAAATGAAGCAGGACAAAGGCTGGCATAATTTTGTAAAGAGAATACACTGGTCACTCTTTTCCAACAGCCCAAGAGATGACTCTAAACATGGAAATCACCAGGTGGTCTTAGGAAATCTTAGCTAGTCAAATGGACCTTAGGAAGTCTGAGCAACAACAAAGCCATTGAGGCAAGAATATTCCAGCTGAGCTTTTCAAAATCCTAAAAGACAATGCAGTGAAAGTGTTATACTCAATATTCCAGCAAACTTGCAAAACAGTGCTGACAGGATTGGAAAATGTCAGTTTATATTCCAATCCCAAGTAAAGTCAATGCCAAAGAATGTTCAAACCATTCACATGCTAGAAAACTTATGGTCAGGATCCTGAAAGCTAGGCTTCAGCAGTACGTGGACCATGAAAAAACAGGAGTATAAGTGGGGTTTGGAATAGACAAAGGAACTAGTGAATAAATTGGGAACATACAGTGGCAAGTTCTTAAAGAGATGGGAGTACCTCTCCTATGAGGAATACTTGGAGATATTCCTGTCTTGATTGACCCTAATTTTGTCTATCGTTACAGGAATAATATTGGAAATGTTCACAAAATTTCTAGTAACTTCAGTAGTCAGGGTCAACAACCAAAGACCTCCTGCTTTGCTTTGCATCCTCCTTGCTCTTCCTTGGCCAGTCAAGAAAGATCACCTGCCTCCTCCAACAAACCATTTTCAGCATCACCTTCTCAGTGTCCATTGCTTCTAGCTGAATGAGCAAACGTAGGGGTCAGCCTTCAGGCTGCTAGTCCTGGGAAGAGGGATTTTTAAAGAAGCTTCTGTCTGGTGCCTCTCCACACAAGCGCTGGGGGAAAGCCACTGGAACCCCCATTTGTTAAAAGGGATGAAGAGGGAATGCAGAGTGTTGCACGCCAGACTGCTTATAATCTGTTCTGAATAAATCACTGGAAAGCATTATTAAATATATGATCAGCAAGCACACAGAATGGCAAGCCCTGCTGAAACCGAATCAACAGGACTTCTGCATAAGTAAATCCTATCTCCATAAACTATTGGAATTCTTCAACCGCATCCATAAACCCATGAACAAGGGAAATCGGGTCAAAGTGGTTTCCTTGGGCTTCTGCAAGGCTTTTGATGCAGTCTCTCACCAAAGGCTCCTGAGTAAATGCAGCAGTCATGGAATACGACAAAGGGGAGAGGTCCCCTTACAGATTCATAGTTTACAGAACAGAAAGCAAAGTTTGTGGGGAGATGGTAGGAAGCAGACATGTGGGGACACTTGTCTTAAAATAATGAATCAACAGAATTTGCTCCAAGTAAATTATTGGTTAGAATGTGAGGTGTGGGGGGGAGGTGTTCCAGTATCCTCAGCTCACAGTCAAGTGAATTAATATTCAAACCTCTGCTAAATTTTGCAACACGAGCTGTGGGATTTCTTCTGTTTGGCAACTGCTTGTCCTTCAAGGCCTGAAAACTCCCTTTCCCACTGAAACACAGAATCTCACAAACTGATCTTTTCCCACTGCCACCAATTTCCTTTTTTCATTGCCACCAATTTTCTTGCCATTTGGTTCCTCTTGTAGCCAAAGTAAAGAGGTTGAGGTATGAGGCAGCAGAAACTTCGGGGAAAAGTGGAGAGAGGAAGGGTGCACTTGGAGGCCTGGCACAGGAGATGCAGGGAACCCCTTCCATGTCCAGAGCATGACACAGCACCAATGAGCTCTGTCACTCTTATGGGACATCATGTGAAATGCGCTGATTCAGCTGCTTTCGGTGCCTACATGAAGCATTGCAAAAGGAAAGGGAGGTAGAGTGGGCTGTTGAGGAACTGGTGTGTCTAAATTGTTTTAGCCCCCTCCCGTGCCCTCCCCTCCCATGCCCTCTCCTCCTCTCCCCTCCCCTTGCCTTCCCTTTCCTCCATAGGTGCATAATGGTCTTGGAAAAGCCCAGATTTTTCCACTCCCCTTGTGGGTGCCAGGGTGGACCCAGAGAGGAAGCTTCAGAGTGCTTGTCCAGAATAAGTCCCAAAACCAGAGGGCACTGCCCTCTGCAAACATGTTTCCAAAGGAATTTTATTTCCCTTGTTAGAGGAATGCTAACATTTCCTTGGGGGATGCAATGATTCAGTCAGAACAAAGGCCATTCACATTCAGCATTTGCCCTGACTGGGTGCTTGCATCAGAGATCACAATATGACCTGAGGAAATGCTCTTACCATTTGGAAATCCAAATGGGGCTGCTCCAC